TGTCATGATTTAATTGATTAATGTCTTGATTAATAATAAGACTTTCGTAACAAGGATTGTTTTCATCGAGATCTTTTGAATATAAAAGAATATTGGGAAATTTTGAAAAAACATTATCTTTTATCGTTTCAATGTCAGCTAATTTTTGATTCATATAATGGAATTTAATAAAATCGCTATAAGTTTCTAATTTATTTTTATTTAAGTTGATTTGAATATTTTCGGGATTTCGCGAAAGTGCGTCAGCGTTACAATTTATTCTACCTGGTTTATAATGAATTTCGTATTCGAATTCTTCGAGTTTAAGTCTCCAACGAACTAATCTACTATTAGGGTCTTTACAATTTGCTAACCATTTAAGTGGACGATGATCTGTACAGATAATAAACTTTTTACCATATAGGTATGGTCTAAAGTGTTGTGTAGCCCAAACGATCGCTAAAAGTTCTCTATCCGTAGTAGAATAATTACATTCGGCTTTATTTAACGTGCGAGAGGCATATGCGATTGGCAAATCTTTACCAATTTCACCTTGTGACAAAATGGCACCTATTGCAAAGTTTGATGAATCTGTGGTTAAAATAAAATCCTTAGAAAAATCTGGAAATTGAAGAATTGGTTCTTGAGATAAAATATTTTTAAAATGACAAAATGAGTTTTCCTGTTCAAGTCCCCAGGTAAACTGAGTATCTTTTTTAAGCAATTGTGTTAATGGTTTCGCGTGTTTTGAAAAATCTTTAATAAATCTACGATAGTAACCAATGAGTCCTAAAAACTGTTTAATTTGTTTTGGAGTTTTAGGTTGAGGGTAGTTTTTAATAGCTGATATTTTATTTGGATTCGGTGAGACACCTTTTTCATTTATAACATGACCAAGATAAGCGACTTCTTTGTGCATAAATTCGCATTTATCGGGTTGTAAAAGTAATTTATTAATTCTTAATCTGTCAAAAACATTTTTTAAACGTAAAGAGTGTTCTTCTAGCGTACTACCAAAAATAACGATGTCATCCAAGTATACAAAGCATTGAAGGCCTTGTAAACCCACTAGGGCAGCATTCATTGCTCTTTGGAATGTACTTGGTGCATTTTTTAAACCAAATGGCATTCGCAGATATTCGTAATGACCTAATGGACTAGAAAAAGCAGTTTTAGCAATATCTTCCTTTTTCATGAGAATTTGATGAAATCCGGACGCGAGGTCAAGGGTTGTAAAATATTTTGAATGTCCTAATTGATCTAAAATATCTTCGATATTTGGTAAGGGAAATTTATCTCCAACCGTAATTTCATTTAATTTGCGAAAGTCAATTACAATTCTAAATTTACGTTCACCTGATGCGTCTAATTTTTTAGGTACAATCCATAAGGGGACTATTATAAGGAGAGACTGATGGTCTGATAATTTTTTGTTTAAGCATTTTTTCGATTTGTTTTTCGACCTCTCTTTTGTGAACTTCTGGGAATCTATAAATTTTTGTTGCAATTGGGGTAGGGTCGGTTGTTTTAATTTCGTGTTCGAGAATACTTGTGTGAGTTAATGTGTCATTAGGAAGATAAAAAATGTCGTTATATTGCTCGCATAATTTTAAAATAGAATATTTTTCTTCGGGATTTAAATGGTCTAGTCTTAGATTTTCTTTAAGTAATTTGATGCGATTATTTGTTACTGATTGATTTTTAACATTAATAAAGATTGTAGATTGTTTTTCTTCAAAAGGTTCTAGAAAAACTTGTAATTTATTTATTTTTAATTTTCGATTTTGGGTATTTAATATAGTAGTAATGGCAGTGCCATTTTCCACTTTGAGAATAGCTTTTGCTAAAAATACACCTTCGGCAATATTTATTTCTGGACAGATACCCTGTGATAAATTTTTTATTTAAGATTTCAATTTTGATAATTGTTTCTGATCTAGGTTCTAATACAACTGAATATAAATTTTCATTATTATGATTATTAGGAATTTGAGATATAATTTTTAAAGGTATTTTTAGTGAATTTAATTGTAACTCACTATTGTTTAAATTTATTATTGCGCCTTGTAATGATAAGAAATCGTTTCCCTATGATACCGTCGTAGGGTATATTATTATTTTGATCAACTAATTGAAATTTAATTGGTATAGGTTGATCGTTTAGACAAAGGTGAAGAATTATGCTTCCCTGCTGTTTCTACAGGAGAATTAGCACTAAGCCCATTTAATAAAATTTTTTCATTAATATTAAGATTTGATAATAAAGTAGAAAGATGCGCTTGATTTTTTAAAAGTGATACAGATGCTCCCGTATCTATTAAAAATTTTAATTTAATGTTATCACAATATGTTTCGATACACGGACTTACATTATTATTTAAAAGAATATTAAATGTTTTAAGATTTTTAATTATTTTGTTACAATTATTAGGAACCGGATAACAACCAAAATTATTAGGTCTACGGCAAGATTTATTTAGAACCGGATAGCAACCTGAGTTTTCAGATCTACGGCAAGAATTATTTGGAACCGGATAACAACCAAAATTATTAGGTCTACGGCAAGATTTATTTGGAACCGGATAACAACCAAAATTATTAGGTCTACGGCAAGATTTATTTTGAACCGGATAGCAACCTGAGTTTTCAGATCTACGGCAAGAATTATTTGGAACCGGATAACAACCAAAATTATTAGGTCTACGGCAAGATTTATTTAGAAAGGGTCTTATTTAAGATTTTTACGTCGGTTTTTATTATTCCCAATCCGCAGAAACGACGTTGTTCTGGGACGCATTCTCGTTTAAAGATTCGGTATTATTGGAGAAATTTGAATTATAATTTATATTTTGATTGGAACTATTTCCTGCATTTTTTCGTTGACGTTTGAAACAATCGTCTATTAAATGACCATTCTTTTTACAGTAATTACAAAATTAGACTGATAAGATGAGTTATAGTTTCCATTTGATTTATAATTTTTATTTGAATTGTAATTTGTATTTGAATGTTTATTTGTATTTGAATTTTCGCTAGGTTTATTTAATTGTACGTTAAATTTTTTATTTTTAAAGCAATCTTGTGTGTTATGAGTTTTTGTTTTGCAATTTTTGCAGAATTTTGATGGACGGGATCCTAAAGAACTAGATTTCGAAATTTGAAGAGCTCTTTCTTCTTCTAAAGCACTAGTTAGAGCGTCCTGATAAATTATTAGAGTTTTTACTTCTTAAAAAACGCGATATTTCCGGTTGACTATGAAGGATAAAGCGTTGCAAAGCTAATTCTTTAATAATTTGAACTCGGGCTTTGCGAGTGCCTTCGTCGTTATCGGAAATACAATTAACAATGCGGGTGTATAATTTATCGACTCTGTTGTGAAAAGATAGAATAGATTCGTTAAAATTTTGTCTTATCGTATTAAGATCTTCCATTAATTGTGTGTAATGTTTTTTGTCTGCGTATAATTGTATTAAAAAGTTCTTTAAGGTCCTTCCAATCGTTTATTTCTTTATCGCGCAATTGTGCTTTTGCACTACCTGTTATTTTTGAAATCACGTATGCTATAAGAGGTTCATTTTGAGAATTGTGTGCAAATTTAAAGGCGTTTTCGCAATTAGAAATAAATTCGTATAACTCTGTTGCGATTTCCGTCGAATGATTTAGGTATAAGTGAACAAAGAAAAGCTAATTTGTGTGGAGGAATGTCTGTTATGTTGCTGCTATCAGCACTTCGAAGCGTTTGAGGGTTATTTTCAGGCATTTGTGAATAGTAAAAGACGCGAAAATACAAATAAAATGTTTAAGAAAAGTAAAAAAAAGATTTAAACCTGCTATATAAAATGGGGAAACAGAAATAAGGAAAAAGAAAGGAATAAACGACTTACGTTTGATATTGTCTGTCTTGTGGGTTCTTCGTTGTGGTTGAGGGTTCTTTTGTGTTGCTTGATGATTCTTTGTTGATCCAAGGAGTTGAAACTCGCCAAGTTGAAGAAATATAGATGAGTTGCCCTTTTGATTCTTGATTTACTTGATTTTTGATTCTTCTTCTTGTGACCAAATCCAATACGACTGCGCCAAATTTTATGTTGGGGATACGAAGAACTAACACTTTGACTCGTAAGATCGTTTATTGTAAATAAGTTTTACATAATAATTAAATAATAAATATTCGAGAAGTTAAATCTTAAGTTAAGTGAGTGAAAAGTAAATAGTAAGTGTTCTTTTGGTTTCTAAAAATGAGCTTTTATACAGCGCGATAATTTTTATCAGTTAATGGAAAAATAGAAGCGCTGTCTTTGAAATTATGAAATATCTAATGATGCGTAATAATTACTTGAACTATTTGAACTTTTTATTAATTTAATTTATGGACTTATTTTTTGTAACCCCTAAAGATCACGACTAAAAGATTATTTAATATACATTAGAAAAACAAACTGTTACCAAATAAATATACAGGGTCTAACACAATTTCCTAAACAAAAAAATTAACACTTAAATAACACACCATTCTGAAATCATCAAATTATAAAGAAATTTGTAGAATATAATTATCAGTTCTACTACAACACTTACTGATGTATTTCGTAACTTTAAACCCTTTTTACTGTATCCCCTAATTTCAGTTTAAAAACCAGTGATGGCATTTTTTTTCGAATATTTCGCACAATAATTACATTTTTCTGTTAATATATTATAAATATTCTAGATAGTTGTAACGAACACGTTACGAATTATAATAAAGTATGCAGAAATATAGGTTGCAGACGCTGAAGTCAGTTGAATTTGTTGATGCGTATTGGCAGTGGGAAATGTTTTGATTAACTGCCTGAAAACCTTTGAAATGTTTTCAAACCCTAGTATTCTAAAAAAATTGTGTTAAAATTTTTAAAATAAAATTAACAAACTACAAACTCAAGTTAATAAAAAAACTTTTATTATGTAAATAATAGCCTCAATCATTATCTAATAAAAAAAATTTGCAAATTTAAAATTTTAAACAATGTTTATTCTTGTTTCAGGTTCTAGAAAATTATTTGGCGGCTACCGGATAACGCCGCGTTTCTGCAAGCCAACGAGAAAAGCGACAGATGGCGCTCACGGCCCCAGCATATGTATGTTCAACCACGAATGCACGCAAAGACAAGGCCAAGTGGTCGGGGCCTGCATGGACGGCTTCCTATTCGGCGCCTGCTGCCTGCTACCTGCCGGTACAACAGGCGAACTGCTCGAAAGTGATCTCTCTTCCATATCGTCCATCGATAATAAGTTAACCACCAGGCCTGGTGGTTTTTCTGTCACTGGTAGACCGCAAATCAGCTCTACCGTGGATATTACTTCGAGTGGTTTGTCGCAGATAGCCCAGTCTTTGCTGAATTCAGCCGCTATACCCACAGCACAAGACAATGCTGTAGTGCAGCTATCAGGGGATAACTCATTCTTCACGACAACTGGAATTACCCACCCTTCTCCTGACACTATTATTGTAAACCAACAGGATAATGAGATTGTATCGACATTCTTCACACCTTCAACACAACCGCCAATAGATAAAAGAACTACAGTTAGGATGGATCAAACAACAACATATAACCGTCCAACAAATCTAGAATTATCGATTTCCAATGGCCCTGCACTGTTCTCCACCCCAAAACCAATATACTCCTACAAACCAAGCAAACCAATGTTCCATCAACGACCCCCTAAACCAACCGATGATCAATACATTCTAGTGCCAACAATATCGCATGAAAACAAGAAAAACACCTCGCAATCGGAATTCGAATCGGTGGTTAACATAATGGAACTTTTAAATAAAACCCACGAAATCGCCCGAACGGTACTAAAAAACCTCCCACAACTTCGTATGTGTTTAGTTCCACCCCCCTCACGTAGACCGAGTATTAGCACTGCCAATCCACCTTCGACTAGTTATGTGTTTAGTACCACAGTACCGCCACGTAGACCCATATCCACGACCACCACCCGAACTAAAACAACCAGTAGAAAAACTAGCAAACCCAAGACTAAAAAACCAACGACGAACAACCGTACGTTATTGGTTCCACGTTGAGACCCGAAGCGCATTCCACTTTCTCTTATAGTCCTTCAGCTTTTTATACGACGAAGAAACCCCCATCTACGTCTTACGTTTATAGTTCCACCCCAACAAGGCGCCCACCTTCTGTAGTTGATACCCATGTAGCTGGCCCAGGTTTCAGTGTGACTTCTAGCCCTGCGTCATCTTCAACAGGGCAGTATTCGAGTCAACCTAGCCCTGCCCCGACTGTCATAGTCCTTAGCCCTCTTCCAGATGAAGACAACGATGTCATAACAACTAAACCCATACAAAAATTACCGTCCAACTATCAACCTATTCGACCATCAACGTATCAAGCTACAAGACCCACTGGTACCCCTAATAGAAAGCCTGTAAATTCTGTGATCGTTAATAATCACGTAACTCAAAATATTTACCCTCACACAAGCGAGCGTCCTCAACCAACAGTCCTGATTACCCCCAAACCAAGTGGTACAACATCGAGACCCACAACAGACTTAATAACAGCACCAGTAGAAGTAGAGACATCAGCAGATGATCTAATTAACTTCCCCCCAGTCAGAAACCCCAACTTAAACATGTCTAATCCTCTATTAGGTGACGAAGGTGACATAACCACCCCATCTTTCATTGAGGATGAAGCACTTAACACCCAAATGGAATCATTCGTAAACAAAATCATACAAGGTTTGCAGGAGCCCTTCGAAGGGCTCAAGGAAGTAGTGTACAATAGAAACAAAACAACTTCCGGTAGTGGTAATACTACCAAGAAACCTGTTAAGAAACAAGGTACGTCGACCAAAAAGCCTGTAGTCAGGCCTGCTATCACGACGACCACAAGAAGGCCGCCCACAAGGAAGCCCAGCAGTGCTGGAACCCAAGAAGCCCACCACCACCAAAAAGCCTGGTGAAAACTACTTAAAAGGCCGGTTGTCACGACAACGCAGTCTTTTATTGAGGACAATGTTCTCAGTGCTAGTGAGGATGAGGAATATAGAAACCCGTAAGTAAATTATTTATGGGTCTTTCCATCTCAAATCGACCAGGCAATAAGGGGTTATTTTTTAACGAAATTGTTTTTACAGTTTCTCTACCGAAACTGATGAACCCGTATTTTTCCTTTTTGTTTAAATTTGTTGCAGGAATTTTTGAAAAATGGGACAGATACATTGATTTTTCTCTTTTTACGAGAGAAAGCGATAACTTGGCCAAAAATGTTTCGATTTTTTTAAATTATAGTTTAATATTTACTACATAAAAAAAATATTTAAAAAATTATGTGAATTCACTCATAAATTAAGAAGCCTTTGAAACGTTTGTGTTTATAGAAGTATCAGATTGGACAGCTCGTTAGTTTGTTTTGCCAGTAAGTAAATATTAACATTTTATTTTTCTATGAAAACATACCCTAAAACTTTTTATAAAATAAAATAAAAATTAAGCTGGTTATGGCCATTGTAGGGAATCTCTGGCAATTAATTAAAAACGAAATATGAAATCAAATAAAAATTTGTTTTATAATTAACCTGCGCATTAGTTTCTAGACCTCTCAGGCTTAATACTTATTTCCTTTCCTGATAGAGCATTAGTCAAAAAGAGTTTCGCGACTGCCTCACTTACATCTGTTAACCGACCAAAATTTTTCGGCATTGTTTGTTCGAAATCGCGTTTTTATAAGATTCTTGTGCATTCGATTAATTACTTTTAGGTATGTAATACTTTTTATTAATTTAACGAAAATTAATTTACGAATACGTTTTACATCTTTTAAAAGTAACACATGCAAAAATATTAAGAATTTACATTTTACTCTAAAATCTTTAATAATTTAATTTTCGGTCAAAACAGAAGTGATAAAAATATTTTAAATATCGGCCATTTCAGGCGTAACGGATGGGACAGTTGCAAGTTTTTATTTAAAAAATAACATTGTTCTATTATATTACTAATGTCAAATTTTTATAAATAGTTCTAAACAGAAGCTGTTTAACAAGGTTTTTATTTGGCAAAATGTTTAATCGTGGCTGACCGTTTAATTCCTTAAAAATTAATTTTTTTTTTCAAAAACACTACCAGTACTGTTTTCGAATAAAAAAAATTATTTTTTAAGGAATTAAACATACAATTACGATACCTACTTTTGCCAAATAAAAACTATGTTAAACAGCTTTTGTTTAGAACTATTTAAAAAAATTTGACATTAGTAATATAATAGAACAATATTATTTTGTAAATAAAAACATGCAACTGTCCCATCCGTTACTCGTGGAATGGCCCATATGTCAGTTTTAAATTACACTTTATAAAAGTCACCCCAGCTTCATAAAATACCAAATATTTTCGATGAACCACGAATTGACATTACAAAAGAGTCAATCCAAATGAAAACACCAAAAATGAATTTAAAAGTGCGCTGCATGATTTTTTATTGTAATGAAAAAATTTGAGGATGATCTTTTAGGTGTCAAATATGAAAATCCGTTGCCGTTTTAATTTTTTGTTGCTTTACTTTTATTTGGCACCCCTTAGAAGTCTGAAATAGTGTCAATTTCTTACTCTCTTATAGTGGGCCAGAACTTTTTTTCTGTGACAAATATTGAAATAATTTTAATTTTGTTTTACTGTCCAGTAAGTGTGTTTTCGATATAAATTATTATTATCCAATTAGTTAATATCATAAAAGAATGGTAAACCACTAAAGATTCATGATAATTTGCCAATTTTTGTGATTTTTGTCTGGCTCCTGTGCCTATTCTACTGAATTTAGAAGGTTCATTTTTTTCAGGTATAAAGTACTTATACAATAGAAAACGTAACTATTATTTTAAGTTTCTAGACTATCAATTTCTTTATTAAAAAAATTATTGAAAATTGATAATTCTCAAAATTAGCCAATTTTGCCCTCAGAAATCATTATGTTGAGGAAAAAATAAAAATCTGAAACTTTCAGGAAATGTAGTCCCCACCTTCATCTTTTCAGTCCAGTTAGTCTTGTTTTGTTATTTTTATCCATGTAAAAGATATAATAATTTTTTTAATGCCAGTTAAGAAGCGATATTGTTAGTTTTATTTATAATTTAAAATTTAGATGGCTTTGACTTTGTCAATTCATGTTTGATGGAGAAATGTCAGAATGCGAAAAATATTTCATAAATATTATTTGTGCGTATTTCTTTGGTAAATTTTGTATATAAAATAATGTCATATTATGTTATATACAAAACTTTTTAAAGTCACCAAAGGAATACCACAAATAATAATTATGAAATATTTTTGATAGTTCAACCATTCCACGCTACTCGGGAATTTTTGTAGCGTCCATTATTATGCTTATAAGTTTAAGCCTAATTATTACAAGCATAATAAACATGTTTGCAATATTAACTATTGTAAAGGTATTTCATTTAATTACGGTAGCATTTAATCACAATTTTTTATTGTAACGGACGCTACAAAAATTTCCGAGTAGCTTGGAATGGCTGAACTATCAAAAATATTTCATAATTATTATTTGTGGTATTCCTTTGGTGACTTTAAAAAGTTTTGTATATAACATATGACATATTATGTTATATACAAAATTTACCAAAGAAATACGCACAAATAATATTTATGAAATATTTTTCGCAGTTCTGACATTTCTCCACCAAACATGAATTGACAAAGTCAAAGCCATCTAAATTTTAGGTTATAAATAAAACTAACAATATCGCTTCTTAACTGGCATTAAAAAAATTATTATATCTTTTACATGAATAAAAATAACAAAACAAGACTAACTGGACTGAAAAGATGAAGGTGGGGACTACATTTCCTGAAAGTTTCAGATTTTTATTTTTTCCTCAACATAATGATTTCTGAGGGCAAAATTGGCTAATTTTGAGAATTATCAATTTTCAATAATTTTTTTAATAAAGAAATTGATAGTCTAGAAACTTAAAATAATAGTTACGTTTTCTATTGTATAAGTACTTTATACCTGAAAAAAATGAACCTTCTAAATTCAGTAGAATAGGCACAGGAGCCAGACAAAAATCACAAAAATTGGCAAATTATCATGAATCTTTAGTGGTTTACCATTTTTTTATGAGATTAACTAATTGGATAATAATAATTTATATCGAAAACACACTTACTGGACAGTAAAACAAAATTAAAATTATTTCAATATTTGTCACAGAAAAAAAGTTCTGGCCCACTATAAGATAGTAAGAAATTGACACTATTTCAGACTTCTAAGGGGTGCCAAATAAAAGTAAAGCAACAAAAAATTAAAACGGCAACGGATTTTCATATTGGACACCTAAAAGATCATCCTCAAATTTTTTCATCAAAATAAAAAATCACGCAGCGCACCCCATTTGGTGTTTTTATTTGGAATGACTCAAAAATAATAATTCCGAATCGACCAATTTAGACAACTCGGGACTTTTTATTATCAACTTTAAATGAAAAAAATATGGAGAAAAAAAAAATGTGGCAATATAAAAATTTTGACATCAATTTTTTTGGCTATTTTAGAAAACAAAATTAATTTTTTATATTATCTTGTATGTACTAAACATTTACCTACAATTTAAAAAATCGTAACGATTGAAACATTTTTGGTCATGTTATCGCATTTTCACTCGTAAAAAGAGAAAATGTTTCTGCCCATTTTTCAAAAATTTACTACGGGTAGACAAAACAAAAATTTCGTTAAAAAAAAGACCTACTTTCTTAAAATGAATTAGTCAAAAAATAACTAATTATAAGTCATATATGACTATTTATTATAACGAAAAAGCAGTCACTAATAATTAGTCAAATTTTACTGAATGAAATAGTCTAATTAGTGGATTTAAATTAAAAAAAGTTTTGACCCAGTCGGGGATTGAACTCAGGTCTGTCACTTGTCAATCTTGTCAAGCTGTTGCCATAACTAATGTGGGTATCAGTCACTCTCATAAAAATCAAACTTTAACTATTTACGTAGTAAAAAATAACTATTTAAAAGTGAAAACGACTATTTTATTAGTAAAAATGCTGGTACTAATTCAAATAGTAGAACTTTGACTATTTAATTATAAGAGAGTACCCCTTTTTCCCTGGTCGATTTGAGATGGAAATGTATTGATGAATCTCTGTATAGATAATGTGCATCCTTGCGGCTATTTTAGCTTAGTTAGGATTTTGGGTCATTAGTATTTAATATCGTCATTATCTTAAGTTTAATTTTTGCTTTTTACTATTTATTTTCGTCATCATCTTAGTTTGTCATCATAGTCATCATTGTGATTGTTGTCATTTGACTTTGTCATCATTTTAATTTGTTTCTTAATATCATTTAACTTGTCATCACCAGCTTGTAGCCAGTTTAGAATATCTTCATTTTGAGTGTCAAATCTTGCAATCTTCTTTTAGAATGCGGAGTGCGGCCTCTGGTAAAAACCGGCAGAATCGTGGGAGGCAAAGGCGCCACATTCGGGGAGTTCCCCTGGCAAGTGCTGGTACGCGAATCGACGTGGCTGGGTCTCTTCACCAAAAACAAATGCGGCGGCGTCCTCATCAGCAACAAATACGTGATGACGGCCGCCCATTGCCAACCGGGATTCCTGGCCTCCCTCGTGGCCGTGTTCGGGGAGTTCGACATTTCCGGCGAGCTGGAGACCAAACGATCCATCAGCAGGAACGTCAAAAGGGTTATCGTTCATAGGCAGTACGATGCGGCTACGTTCGAGAACGACTTGGCTCTGTTGGAATTGGAGCAGCCTGTGAAATTCGATAGTCATATAGGTGAGTTGTGTTACTTTTTTTAATGTTGCGTGGGTAAATGAGGAAATATTGTTTTGTTTGCATACTATTGATTTTGTGGTGTAGAATTGTTCACAACAACAAGCTTTAAAATGCAATGGTTTGTTTTGAAATACGAGGCGCAATAACATATTTATATAAAAATTAAAATATAAAAACTTTTTTATTTTTGTTCATATAAAAGTTTTTGCCTATTTAGAAATGACAAATTCAGTTTTTATTTTTACTAATTTCCCCTCAGTCTCAGAGATGCATCTAAAAATATGACTATTTCACTAGACTATTTGGACGCCTTTCTGCAGAAAGGAACCAACCCACAAAACCAAAAAAATCGAGATATTTAGCCTATGAACTAATTAAGTATGTATAATTTATCTGCAAAATAGGTCATAGCCAAAATGCAAGTGTAGTGAAATCTATTAATCATTGAACCAACCAACATTCAATAATAGTGTGGATTACTAATCCAGAATTAGAATCTGTAGAATATCTGCAAGTGCAGCTGGTAGACCCACTACCAAAGTCTTTAAAGATTTCCTGCTTCTGCAAAATATAAAGTCTTGATGCATTTTTTTGATAGCTTACAAGATGAGGTGGGGTTGGAAGATGATGTGGACGAATTTCAAATAGAATCAAAACTAATTCATATTACCATTATAATAGTAATATCAGTTGTATTTTGTTTGGAAATAAATAATTGTCGCTTTTCTTTAAATACATACATACATCAGATAGTAGTTTTCATAAATTGCAGAAAGGAACCAACCAACAAAAGCCCATTTTTTTCGTCACCCTACACATAACATCACAAAACACGGTGCTGTTCTGAGAGGTGATTTTTGGACTTTTTGTGAAACCTAATTTTTTTTTTATTCTTGTTAATTAGGTCATAACTAAAATTTTAAGAGCAAAATAAAAAAAATTTGACGGTTAATTTTGTTTTAATTGGATGTTTATTAAAAATATGTATGCACACTTTCAATTCTCCAATTAAAACTTGCGATTCTGAGAGAACAAAAATTATAGAATACGTATACTAAAAATGACAATTCAAACGTCAAATAAATTTTTAATTCATGGCAACCTTTAAGGATATATTAATTAAGGGAAAATAAATGTATACGTCAAAGGTTAGATTAAAAGTTTGAACGTTTATTGCAAACAAAACAGTAAAATATATAAAAAAAAAATGTAAAAACCTTTTTTTTAGTTATGCAAATATTAAATATTTAAATTAAATCGCTAGTTTTAATTGGATAATTGAAAGAGTGCATAATATTTTTAATAAACAGTCAATTAAAACAATTCAAACCGTCAGTTTTTTTTTTGTTTTGCTCTTAAATTCTTAGTTATGACCTAATTAACAAGAATATAAAAAAAATTAGGTTTCACAGAAAGTCCAAAAATCACCTCTCAGAACAGCACCGTGAAAATCTACCTGATGAAATTATAATTTTATACCGTAAGTCCAAAATCGGCATAAAATTAACAGGTAATTTTAAAATTATTAAAATCTTTGATAGCTTTTTTCTCAGTTTCATCATGGTGTGGGTTGGTCCCATTCTGCAGAAAGCCGTCCATTTTTAAGTAATAAAATGTCATAGTAACGGCATGTTTTCTTCTGACAAAACTCCTGCCCGTGATTTCTCAGCGACAAAATTATGGTTTGGTACTTCTATTGTTGTCAGTTTGACAAACAATAAAATTAAAGTTGTTTTGATATTATTACAAATCCGTCACCAAGGTGTTTTATACTTCTATTGTTGCCAGTTTGACAAACGTCATTGTGAAATAATGAATCCACGCGCAAATTCAGGATTTGGGTGCCATCATGCTATGCTCACTCCCCCCTTCCTTTTCAGACCTTAAAATTAGTTGCGGATAGGATCGATTATAGCGCTGAAGCAGCAGAATTTAAATAACACTTAGGTGGCATCTTTGTCAATTTGACAATTTGTCAATTTTTCGTTTAAACTTTAGAGACCCCATTATTGTTGTGTTCATAGATGACCGAAGGTTTTGTTCCAGCTTTGTTCTAGACAAACAAGTTTTCCTTTTGTGCGTTTTTGTTAGTTTGACTTTTTTACCAGTTTACAAGTTTTCCTTTTGTGCGATTTTGTTAGTTTGACTTTTTTACAATGGTGTTTAAATGTGCTGTTGTTAATTGTAGAAATACAAGTAACGAGGCAGTATTACACTCGTTTCCTAAGGATCCTGACGTAAGTTAGTTAACTTTAGAAATAACCAATACAATATATAAAAAAATGCCTTATAAATAGGTAAAAAATGAGTCCAAGAAAAAGCAGGAGGCTATTAAAAATTTAAAAAAGATTGTTAACTAAATTAGTATTTTTTTTTTGTTTAGACATTAATGCTTATTTGCTTTGTTTTATAATTGTTAACTTTATTTTTATATACTTCATTAAAAAAAATATATAAAATCATAATTTGTTTGTTTTATTACATTTGGGGCATTCCACGTTACTCGGTAATTTTTGTCCCGCCCGTCACAATTAAAAATTGTGAGTAAAAACCACAAGTTATAAAATTAATATTTTATAATATTATTTTTATTGTGCTTATAACTTATTAAAAGTATAATAAAACAATATTTTTAAATAAATTTTATAACGTGGAGTTTTTACTCACAATTTTTAATTGTGACGGGCGGGACAAAAATCCCCGAGTAACGTGGAATGACCCATTTTCCTAATTCAAGGATTTTTCAAACTCATTATTAATTAATACAGTTATTTTATATCGCCTCCTGTAATCTACAATGTTACATTTAGTGATTAATATGAGAACTTTTAAATTGCCTTAAATATTGTAATTGTAAACTGTGAGAAGTTTGTTTAAAATACAAATTTGATTAGTATGAAACTTACCAATAAGTATTTCTATTGGATTTGATAGAATTCATTATAAAATGCAAACATCTTCAAGCCTTAGTAATATTATATTAAATTTTGTTTTCTTTTAAAATGGGTGAATTTTATAATAAAGCTTACCAAATCTTATTGGACATCTGAAAATACAACATATTTAAATATGTTTGTTTAAAATTTCTAGGCAATGGTTTTAATATTAAATTTTTTTTTATAAGGACTCATTGTCTCACAATATAATAATTAATTTCTAAAAGTTTAAAAAAAAATAAGAGATTTAAATATATTTGTTAGTCAGTTTCATTCGAGCCAGATTTGTATTTAAAACAAAATTTTTACGGTTTACAATTTTAAAATTCAAGGAGATTTAAGTACAGATATCACACACTAGATGTCGCACTGTAGATTCCAGGCGGTTTAAACTGTTAAAGCCCTTGGACAATAGATGTCGCTATCTAGAATGGATCTGCTTGCAGCGCCACGGGCGGTGATATCCGCTGTTAAATTAACTTTGTTTCGATTTTCTAACGAGAGTCGGCTATCTATACCTTCGGTCATCTATGGGTGCCATTCAGATGAACAAATAAAAAAATTGGTTTCAAAAAATATCCCATTAAATACTTAGAGCTCTATTTGGACCCAATTCTCAGAATTCCTACGGGTGAGAAATTTTACACTGGAAAAATGTACTACCGCGACGGAACTAGCAAAAATTCTGGAAGATTATGCCTTTAATATGAAAAAATGCAATGGCGAAGACTATAAAGAGTCGTCTGTAAAGTATATGTGGAATTCAACTGCAAAAATGGTACAAGAAAAATATTTTATAGAATACGGCATAAAAATCGATCCTTTCACGGATATATCTTTCAAATGTTCAAGATTGGCCAGAGATATCAAGCGAAGGCAGCTTCAAAGTTGTCCAGAAAAAAGAAAACTTAGTTCAAAAGCATTATCCACCGAAGAACTTTTAAAAATGATCCAAAGCTACGATGAAGAAACCCCCGATGGAGCAGAAAAAAAGTTTTTTCACCTCTGCTCATATGAACTTGCTTGGAGAGGCAATGAGGCCGTAAACTGCAAGATTCACTTTTTCCAGAAGGAATTTAATAATATGGGAGAATTTACGGGCCGAATTGAATACAACAGCATTTTTTCGAAAACAACTCAAGACGGGTCGAAAAGTTTGGCAAGCAGCAAATGGTTGGTAAGAAATTTATCAAACGAAGATTTATGCCCAGTTAGATTATTCTTGAAATTAATGGAAAAAAGAGGACCAAATATTTTATCAGGCAGACTTTTTCTTACCGTTCACCCCAACTGGAAGAATGGATCTTGGTTCAAAAACTGTCCACTTGGAATCAACATCGTATTTAAGTGGACAAAGATGTCAGCTGAAAAAATTGGAATAGGCACAAAAAAACATAAAATAACAAACAATTCGCATCGATCTTCAGCTGTGTCAGCTTTGTTTAAGCAAGGTGTTGCTGAACAGGAGTTAATTAAATTAACGGGTCACTCAAATGCAAGCTCCCTAAAACCATACCTGCAGCTGGATTCTAGTCACCACCAGAAGTTGATCGAAAATCTCCGAACAACAAATGAAGCTGGACCTTCGAGTTCCCAGATGCTACAGGTCAATAATACACAAAATCGTGCTTTGGTAACAAATAAATTAAGATTACATGTTTCGTTAATAGGGTGCATTAATTGTCTTGTTTTTTCTCATGAAATAGTCACTCGAAAGAAAATTTTTACCGGCAAAATTTGTTCTCTTGTGATATTATATACAAAAATATATTTACTTAGAAATTATTTCAAAGTTCAAAAAATTATAATGCGTGGAGTTTCAGTTACTCGATGAATTTCTTTACTCGCCTATTGGCTCGCACCAAAACTATCGAAAATAATAATGAAATGACCGTCAATAAGAGCGACTCAGACAAGTCCAAAAGACTACGATTGTTATTTTCACTTAATACTCTAGTCAATAAACACTGAAATGGTAACTGGTTAATATTTTAATGGATTAATTATTCAAATAAGTAACAAGAACAACTCATTCAATCCATTCTCCGCCCTTTTCTACACACA